TGAGAATATTATATAAACTAAAGGGTTTGTATTTGCCTAAGCTATGGTGTTTTGATGAAATGGAATTCCTAAGACCCAAAATGGAGGAAAAAATAATAAAGAATTTAAAAAAGGTAAGGATTTAAGGAAATAATAATGAATAACGATATCTGACTGAAAAATAAGTCTCTTTTAAAATAAAATAGTTTTCTGATAGAGGACTATCGAAGAAGTCACTAATCTAATAAAAAATAGTCTAAAGGATACTATTTTTCTAATCGAACCGAAGATACTTTTCTAATAGAAAACTATATAAAGAAGAGTCATTTCTAATAGAAAAATGTATAAAGAAGATATATTTCTAATAGAAAAACTGACAGAAAACTGTTTTAAGAAGACACTTTTCTAATAGAAAACTGTCAAAAGAAGACATTCTACTAATAGAAAAACTGATAGACACTTATCTAAAAGAAAACTATCTTAAGAAGACACTTTCCTGATAGAAAATAGTTTTAAGCAGACACTTATCTAATAAAGAAGATAATTTTCTAATATTAAACTATCTAAGAAGACTCTTTTCTAATACAAAACATTCTAAAGAAGAGTGACACTTTTCTGATAATGAAATATGTAAAGAAGACACTTTTGTAGAAATCCATAAAATTTTCATTGTCTAATTTTCAGGTAGCTCATCCTTCTTCTAATCCCCTTAGACAACGACAAGCTTTCCTCAAAGCCTCTGACATAAACTTTGATAATTTGGAACAACAACTACAGTTTATTGAAATATATCGTTCCTTTAACTCTCTCTGGGATGTAGATCATCCCGATTATAGATCATCGAATTATCGTAAAAAAGCTTTAAATGAAATGCTAGAAAAAGTCAATTTAAACCTCAAACCGGAAAAACTATATAAACTGGAGCAACTAGAAAAAACCCTTTACCTTTTGCGTAAAGAGTTTTCGCGAGAAAAACTTAAAAGATTAAAGGAAAATCCTCTAAAAGATAAGGAGCAAACATGCGGCATGTCCTTTGTATTATATGAAAAATTGGCACAATTTTTGGCCATTAATTTAGGACCTTTTCGCTGTAACAATTGCCAACTTATAGTGAAAACGTATGATCAGTATAAAATACATAAATCCAAACATGAAGGTACTTTACCTTTTATCTGTACTTTGTGTGGTAAGGGTTTTCAAATGCCTGGTAATCTTACCATACATATAAGAAGACATAGACATGATTTTCCTTATTCCTGTGAAATTTGTAAGAAATCATTTGCCACTTCCACCGAGGTCAATATACACAAGCGTTCACATACCGGCGAAAGACCCTATAAGTGTGAATGGTGTGAGAAAACTTTTAAAACCTGGTCTTTTTACGATCTCCATAGACGTACGACTCATCTCAATCAATCGAATTTTCATTGTCCGATTTGTGATAAGGCCTTCTATGAACGTAATCGTTTTACGGATCATATGAATGTTCATCTAAATATACGTAAACATCCGTGTGATGAGTGTGGCAAGAGTTTTACTACTTTGGGAAATTTGAAGAAACATTTGGATTTACATGCTAAGGTCAAGAAGTATAAGTGTCAACCGTGTGGCAAAAGATTTGCACAATTTGCCAGTTTGCGATGGCATCGGAAAACGCAACATGAACAGTGAAGGCTGTAAAGGAAAACTGGAATTTTAAAGAAAATTAAGCAGTTAATAAGAGTCATTGATTAAAAAACTACCAGCCAGAGATTCAATGAACATTTTTTAAAAATAATTAACTTTATTAACAATTTTAAAGAAATTTTGTTAAAAATTTAGTTTTACTTTAAGAAAATTATTGAAATTGTTTCTAATAAAGTGAATAGTGAAATTTATCAAATATCATTTAATAAATTGAAGAAATGTCTAGATATTTATTGTTTTTTTTTTATTGAAATCTTTTTAATACTAGCCACTAAAATATTGAATATTTAGTTTATGTTTAATCTAAACTAAAAAAGTATTATTAATTTTAATTAATTTAAGTTTTTATAAAAGTATTATTTTATATTTATTCTTAATTGTACTTAATTTATAACTAAATGTTGTTAAAATCTTAAAATCAAATAAATGTGTGAAAAAAAATAAAACTGTAAAACTTGGAAGAAACTTTTCGAATAGAAAACTGACTATAGAAGACTGTTTTTTATCGAAACCTAACTAAACACATCTTTTTGTAGAAAACTGTCTAAAGAATACCTTAATAATAACAAATCGTCTAAAGAAGATATTTCTCCAATAGAAAACTGTCAAAAGAATACACTTTTCTAATAGAACATTGCCTAAAGAAGACACTTTTCGGATAATTAACTGAAGATACTTTTGTAATAAAAAACTTTATAAAGAATATATTTTTCATATAAAAAACTTTCTAGAGAAGTCGATTTTTTAATGGAAACTGGCCTAAACAGTACGCCTTTATAATAGCAAACTTTCTTTTTTAATAGACGCTTTTAAGAAGAAACCCTTCTAAAGAGGACACATTTCTAATAGAAAACTTTCTAAAGAAGATGTTTTTCTGTAAGAAAACCTTCAAATGAAGAAACTTTTCTAATAAAAAAGAACATATTAAAGAAAATACTTTTCGAATATAAAACTATCTAAAGATGCCACTTTTCTTATAGAAAACTGTCTAAAGAAGAGTCTTTACTAATTGAAATCTGAATAAAGAAGAGACTTTTCTGATATCAAACGTTCTAAGAAGACACTTTTCTATTCAAAAATATTATAAAAATATGCTTTTTTAATAGGAAGACACTATTCTGATAGAAAACTTTCTTAAGATGTCGTTTTTCTGAAATAAATCCTGTCGAAAGAAGATACTTTTGTAATAAATATAGAAGATACTTTTGTATAAATATACAATTTTGCCTATAATCTAGTCTATATGTTAGTTTATAGTCCAGTCTATAGTTTAGTCGGGATTTTATTTAAAAAATTTTACATATTTAGTTACACATTTATTAGGGTTCTATAGTTGAAACGAAAAGTCGACTTTTCGACTTTTTGCATTTAGTTAATAGTCGACTTTTCGACCTTTCGACTTTTTCCATTTTATGAAAAGTCGACTTTTCGACCTTTTTCATTTATTTAAAAGTCGACTTTTAGACTTTTCGACTTTTAGTATTTTATAAATGGTCGACTTTTCGACTTTTTCCGACTTTCCGACTTTTTCGACTTTTTTCGACCTTTTTCGACTTTTTCCGACTTTTCGACTTTTTCCGACTTTTCGACTATTTCCGACTTTTTGATTTTTTACGACTTTTTGACTATTTTCGATTTATTTCGACTTTTTTTCGACTATTTTTGTTACTTTTTTCGAGTTTTTCCGACTATTTTAGAGTTTTTGACCTCTTTTCCACTTTTTTAAAATTTTCGACTTTTTCCGACTTTTCGACTTTTTTCGACTTTTTTTCGACTTTCCGATTTTTTGACTTTTCGAATTTTTTCGACTTTTATTTACAAAGTCGACTTTTCGACTTTTTTCATAGACGATAGTCGAGTTATCGACTTTTTTGGAACAAAATAGTCGACTTCGACTTTTCGACTTTTTTCGACAAAAAGTCGATTGTTCGATTATTCGAAAGTCGATTTATAGAACCCTAACATTTATATAAAAATAATTCCATAAAATTTCTATTTAATAGTTTATTAATATGGCAACTCTAGTTTGTTTCAATGGCCGTTATTTTAAAAGTAAAGATATAAAAGATATATTTTGTAAATAAAATCTAAAAGTAATTTAAATAAAAATTTATATTATATAATTTCTTTTTTATTTAACGCATATTTATCCTTCTCTTAGTTAAGTTTATATTGAATTTCTTTATTTTTTTTACAAATTTTACAAACTTTTTTCATCAACTACTACCACTTTTTGCTGCTACTCTTTTTTGCAACTACTCCCATCTGCTGCTGTATTCGCTGCTACAACGCTACGGCAGCGTCAACATGATGGTAACAAAATACATTGCTGCTTGACAGACCAGTACATCAAACATATGTATTTTAAATGGGGTGGCAGTTTGATAAGTTTTCTGCCGACTGCGAAAGAAATTCTGCTACGACGAGGCAACTCTACAAAGTAGTTTCAGTTGGTAACTCTTTTCAGTATAGAGAATTTTTCAGTGCTGTGAAGTTGTGTTCGCTAAGAAAAATCAAGTGAAAAAATTTTTAAATTAAAATTTAAATTAATAAAATAGCAAATTTTTAAAAGAATTTAAGCAAAAAATATAAATAATAATATAAACTTTGCAATAAATAACATATATATAAAGAAAATATAAAAATCTTTATGAAATTTGAGTTTAACCAAAGAAGTCTCAGCTAATTGGGAACAAAGCCCCAGAAAAATTTGAACAAAGTGAAAAAATTCCAGTTTTTTTTAGAAGAAAAACCAGTTTCCCAATAGCTACGCCTTAAAAACTAATTAAAGGAGAAACTTTATTCTTTATAAAAAATACAAAAAATCAATTTTATTATTCATCTAAAAAAAAATCAATAATGTCTGTGCCAAAAAATAACTTGAAAAAATTAATAACTATAAAAAATAGCTGTGGGCGTTATTTAACATCATTCCATAATGGATTTCTTCATCATCATTATTATCAAAAACATGGTTTTAAAACAGAGGAGCGCAAGATTGCCATTACATAGCACGCGTGATAGGGTAAGAAAATTCTGCTGACGCAAAGTTGATACACATACACTATAGGCTTAATTCTTCTTCTTTTTATAATGAGCAATATCAGTGGGTTTGCTCTCAACTTGAAAAACAAAATCAAATCAGTTACTGATCAGCACTTGTCGAAGCAAGGTCTGTACGCTACGTTTTTAAAATACACACAGAAATACAACAACAAAATTTTGAGAAAGCCGAATTAATGTAGGAGAACATGAGAGAACAGTTGTTAGTTTTTTATATATAGACTTTGATATACGCTGGCTGTCAAAATCCATAATAAACATTTGACAGTTAGCATATACTTTATAGTTTATAGTCATTTTATTAGTATACTTTTATTTTGAATTGAATTCTGTTCTCTGCTGCTTTACCAACACAAATAAAACTATGGTACTCTATGGTAGTATGTGTTTGAGCAACACTGTTTTAAAATATGGAGTCATGGCTGAGGAATCTTTATTATAATCATCATTATCTTCAAAGTATAATGAAATTTTAATGACCTTTTTCAACTCTTGCTTTTTTTGCTTTTGTATGGTTGTTGTTGGTTTTGGATTTTTCTGTATCTGGTAATTTTTTTCCAATAGTATGTATTACATACAAAAAAGAAGAAGACCACAAAGAAACAACAACAACAAAAACTCATCATATACAATAGTTGTTGTTTTTATATTACACATCTTGAGTAGTTTTTGTGTATGTATTCTGGAATGAAAAGAAAACGAATTGTAAAATGCACTCATTATTATGTGTATATGAAAGTATGCAGTAAAACAACAACAAGGAGTAAATAAATTAGTTAGACATATAAAAACATACTTATAGTTAGAAATGAGTATGTTTTTGTTGGTGTAAATGAGTTTTGTAAATAACAAACCAACATAAAAGAAGGAAGTTTATTCAAGTGGATAGTACGATAATGGAATTTTTTGGGGAGTTTTCCTGTTGCCATTCATTATGGAAATGCATTAAAAAGGTAAGTGTTATAAATTTATAATATTTATTTATAGAAACAGAATTTTTTGTTTGAAATTTCTCTAAAGAAAAATGTCTTCTAAATACGGTTTTTTGAAGATAGTTTTCTTTAGAAAAGTGTCTTCTTTAGACAGTTTTCTTTTCAAAAGAATCTCCAACAGAAAGTTTTCTTTAGAAAAGTATCTTTTGGAAAGTGACTTCTAAAGACAGTTTTCCTTAGAAAAGTGACTCCTAAAGACAGTTTTCATTAGAAAAGTGTCTTCTAAAGACAGTGTTCTTTTGAAAAAATGTATTCTAATGACAGTTTTCTTTAGAAAAGTGTCTTCTACATAAAGTTTGCTTTAGAAAAATGTCTTCCACAGACATTCTCTCAAAAAGTGCCTTCTATAGGTATTCAGTTTTCTTTAAAAAAGAGTATTCTAACGACAGTTTTCTTTGAAATAGTGTCTTAATGAGACAGTTTTCCTTAGAAGGTGTCTTGTAAAAACAGTTTTCTTTCCAAAAGTGTCATCCTTTAAAAATTATCTTACGGGAAGAGTTTTAAGAATGATATACTTGTTTAGACAATTTTCTCCAGAAAAGTGTCTTATTAGAACATTTTTCATTAGAAAAGTTTCTTGTCAGGTCAGTTTTCTTCAGAAAAGTGTCTTGTTTGGATAGTTTTCTATAGAAAAGTTTCTTATTTGGACAGTATTCTGTAGAAATGTGTCTCGCTTGGACAATTTTCTTAAGAAAAGTGTCTTTTTGGATAGTTTTGTATAGAAAAATATCTTGTTTAGACAGTTTTCTTTAGAAGTGTCTTGTTTGGATAGTTTTCTGTAGAAAAGTGTCTTGTTTGGATAGTTTTCTATAGAAAAGTGTCTTGTTTGGATAGTTTTTTGTAGAAATGTGTCACGCTTGGACAATTTTCTTAAGAAAAGTGTCTTGTTTGGATAGGTTTCTATAGAAAAGTATCTTGTTTAGACAGTTTTCAATAGAAAAGTGTCTTGTTTGGACAGTTTTCTTTAGAAGTGTCTTGTATGGATAGTTTTCTTGTTTAGACAGTTTTCAGTAGAAAAGTGTCTTGTTTGGACAGTTTTCTTTAGAAGTGTCTTGTTTGGACAGTTTTCTGTAGAAAAGTGTGTTTTTTTTTTGGAAAGTTTTCTTTGGAAAAGTATCTTGTCAGGGCAGTTTTCTTTATAAGTGGCTTATCAGGACAGTTTTCTTTAGTAGTGCCTTGTCAGGGCGATTTTCTTTACAAAAATGTCTAGTCAGAGCAGTGTTCCTTAGAAGTGTCATGTCAGATAGTTATGTTTTAAAAAATGTATTCCGAATGCAGTTTCCTATGAAAAGATGTATTTCAGAATCCGTTTTCATTAGTTAAATCTCTTCCCAATAAAATATTCTTCAAAAAAACATCTTTTGAAAAGTGTTTTCCTTGTGTATTCCTTGGAAAAATATCTTTCGGAGAAAGTTTTTTACAAAAGTTTCTTGTTTATGGAGTTTTCTTTGTAAATTTTTTAGAAAGTTGTTTTGCGGAGAAAATTTGCTTTAGAAAAAAGTCTTGTATATACAATTTTCTTTGATAAACTATCTTCCGGAGACAGTTTTTTTAAGAAAAATATCTTGTTAACACAATGTTCTTTAGAAAATTTTCTTGTAAATAACATTTCCTTTAACACTAAAACAAACATATCTTATATCATTAATTAAACAATATATCTTTTCCTTTCCTCATTTTAGCTTTAATCTACCTGGGGATTTCTTTATTTATACAAATGTTCTGATTGCTACAAATGATATCTTAACCATGGGGTAAGTTTACACTTATTTTTTCCACAATTTTGTATCGTTAAATATATGAATTCTTTTATCTTATATCACACATCAAAATGCTTACTTGCATATAATATTATCTTAAAAATAAACAAATACATATGTTGTTATTTATAAAGAAAACGTAAACAAACATTAAATAAACAACAGCTGTGGTCGGCTGGTGGTTTTGAAAGTCGTTCTTTAAAGATTGATTGCAAGTAAACAGATAATGAATCACATAAGTTAACAAATGTGTTTTTATTTGATTTCAGTCGGCGGATTACAACTATTATTAAGCTGAGGTTTAGCTGAGTTCGTTTTTGGGAAAAGCCATGTCTTCTTAGTTCAGATGTTCAACTTTAAAGGATTTGGATCTGGTACTTAAATTCATAAATTCTATGAGAAATCATCACAATTATAATTGCAAACTTAACTAATTGTTAACTGCTACTACTACTCCACTTAAATGTCAACTCACTAAGTATAAAAAAACAATAAAAGAAAGTTTTTTATTAACAGAAAAAAAAAACTTTCATAAACAAGAGTAAAAGTATCATTTTTATTATATATTATATTGAAAACATTATATTATCCATTATATTAGACCCTATTGGTCACTTTATACCATATGTACATAAAAAGTTTCTTTACAGATAACAACGTTGCAGAACCAAACCAATCCTAATTACAAAAATCCACCTATAAAACTTCAACAACAACTAATTTAAACATTTTACTATATTAAAACTATATTGATTATATTGTTTATATACCTTATTATTGAAACATTTTAAGTATTTTTTTATATTGAAAAAAAAAAATCTCTATAAATTCCTTAATTAATTTTATAAAAAAATTATTGAAATAAAATTTTTAGCACCTAAATATCAAACGGCTTATGCATGTGAAGGTAAGAAATTAACCATAGAATGTGAACCGGGTGATTTGATAAATCTGATACGAGCCAATTATGGACGTTTTTCCATAACAATATGCAATGATCATGGCAATATGGAATGGAGTGTTAATTGTATGTTTCCAAAAAGTTTAACGGTGCTTAATTCAAGGTAATTAAACAAAGAAAACTGTTTTGACTAGTCACTTGTAAAGCAAACTGCCTTAAGAATAAACTTTTCTAAAGAAATTTGCCTTGATAAGAAAATTTTCTGTAGAAACCTATTCAGACAAGACACTTTTCTAAAGAAAACTGTCCAAACAAAACACTTTTCTAAATAAAACTGTCCAAACAAGAAACTTTTCTATATAAAACTTTCCAATCAAGACACTTTTTTGTAATAAACTGCCCAAACAAGACACTTCTATAGAAAACTGTCCAAACAAGACATTTTTCTATAGGAAACTGCACAAACAAGACACTTTTCTATATAAAACTATTAAACAAGACATGTTGCTATAGAAAACTAGTCAAAAAGGCACTTTTCTAAAGAAAACTGTTTAAACAAGACACTTTTTAAGAGAAAACTGTCCTGACAAGACACTTTTCTCAAGAAAACTGCCCAGACCTGACACTTTTCTATAGAAAACTGTACTGACAAGACTCTTCTAAAGAAAACTGCCTAGACCTGACACTTTTCTAAAGATAACTGTTTCGACAAGACGTTTCGAATAAAAACTGTCCTGAAAAGGTGATAATCTCCATGTATTTCCAACAGATGTGCTCATAAACAAAGTTGTAGTGTTTTGGCTACAACCAGCATGTTTGGTGATCCTTGTCCGGGTACTCATAAATATTTGGAGGCACATTATCAATGCATATCGGCTTCACAAACTTCAACCACGACGAATCGACCCAGTCCGCCTCCTTGGGTTCTATCGAATGCACCACCTTTGCTACCGAATGGTAGTAGTTCTTCTATAATAAATCCTGCCGTTTTATCGCCACCTTTGCCACCAGCCCAACGACCACAAATGCCTATACCAGGTTTGGCCAATACAAATCTACCCTTAGGCGGTGGCAGTTTGCCAAATGCAGTGGTGCCTTCATCGCCAGGGCCTCCCACTATACACACTACTCTGCCGGGTGGTCGTCTAAAGGCGGGTTATAATAATACTGCTTTAAAAACACCAACACGTCATGATGGTCTGCCACCACCACCGCCTTTACATCATCATCATCATTCAGCCTCTAATGGTGGTCATCATCCTTCGAATGATCAGGGTAAGGAGGGACCTACTAGGGGAGGGGAACAACAGCAGCATTTACATAAAACAGAAACCAAAACTAGCAACGCTCCTGTTAGTAATAACAATAGCAATAACAACAACAATACCACCGCTCCTCCCAACACTAGAATACTCACCGGCGTAGGTGGTACTGGCAGTGATGATGGCACTTTATTAACCACCAAAACTACCACTAGAGGTCAACAGCAACAGCAGCAACAATCTCCTTCTCCTACAGGCACTACCACAGCCTCTTCTTTGGGCAGTTTAAATACTACCTTAGGGGCCGGTATTATAAAATCCATAAACAACATCAATCTCAATTCTGGTTTAGGAGGAGAAGATGAAACCAATATGTTTTGTGGACCCACCAATGCCCGCAATCTTTTCTGGAATATGACACGAGTAGGAGATGTCAATGTACAGCCCTGTCCTGGTGGTGCTACCGGCATTGCTAAATGGCGTTGTGTTTTAATGAAAAGAATAACACTAGATGATGAAGAAGACTCTGCTAGCTCTACACAAACACCTATATGTAATGGCACTTCCTGTCTCAATCTAAGACTACGTAATTTTGAACCCACCTGGCATCCGTTAACACCCGATCTTACACAATGTCGCAGTTTATGGTTAAATAATCTAGAAGTGCGTGTTAATCATCGTGATTCTTCGCTTATATCTATAGCCAATGATTTGTCTGAGGTTACCAGCAGCAAGACACTTTATGGCGGTGATATGTTAGTTACCACCAAAATCATACAAGCCATGTCAGAGAAAATGTATCATGATAAAGAAACTTTTCCCGATCAACGTTTGAGAGAAGCCATGATTTTGGAATTGTTACAGGGTGTGGTAAAAACGGGTTCGAATCTTTTGGATGAATCGCAATTATCTTCATGGTTAGATCTTAATCAAGAGGATCAAATGAGAGTGGCCACTTCGTTGTTGACCGGTCTGGAGGATAATGCTTTTCTTTTAGCTGATACTATTATAAGGGAAAGGAATGTAGTGCAGAAGGTTAAAAATATATGTAAGTGTTTGAAAGTTTTAAGTTTAAAATTATCTAACAATTGGAAATTTTACTCTCCTCTTTTTAAAGTGCTCTCCGTGCGTGTATTGGAAACCAAAAGCATACAAAACAATGAAGTTTTTCCTGATGCCGAACAGTGGCAAATCAGTGATGATAGAATAGAATTGCCGCGGGCCGCCTTAATCGAAAACAGTGAGGGAGGCTTAGTGCGCATAGTGTTTGCAGCCTTCGATCGTTTGGAATCTATACTCAAGCCCTCCTATGATCATTTTGATTTAAAATCTGCCAGAAGTTATAGTAAGTTTTAAGAGATTATGGCAAAAAAAGAAATTTTTCCTAATTTGATTTCTATTTTCAAACAGTACGCAATACTGCCATTTTAGCCAATGATAGTGATGCTTCCAACAGCCAGCAACGTATACGCATTTTAAATAGCAAAGTAATATCAGCTAGTTTGGGTAAAGGACGTCATATACAGCTATCACAACCCATTAAATTGGTTTTAAGGCATTTAAAAACGGAAAATGTTACCAATCCGACTTGTGTATTCTGGAATTATATAGACCAGTAAGTTGTTTAAAAGTTATCGCTTTAATTTGATATTAATATTGGTATTTTTAACTAGTGCCTGGTCTGCTAATGGCTGTATTTTGGAGTCAACCAATCGCACCCACAGCATATGCATGTGTAATCATTTAACCAATTTTGCCATACTAATGGATGTCATGGATGATCATAACCATTCCTTATTCACCATGTTCGATGGCAATATGAGAATTTTGATTTACGTCAGCATATCGATTTGTTTGGTTTTTATAGTGATAGCCTTATTAACTTTGAAAATATTTAATGGCGTATTTATTAAGGTAAGAACTACTAGACAACAAAATCATTTAAATCGTTCGCGTAGGGGGGGTGGCCAAGGTGGTGCAGGTTTAAGTTCAGCCGGTTCGGCATTAACCGGTTTGGGAGGTAATAGTTTGGGTGGTAGCACAAGAAGACAAAATAATATTATAGAACAGACCCATGAGTCCATACAAATAACTAATGCGGCTAGTGCTTCCAACAGCTCCTCTAATGCTACCAATAATATACAAAACTTACAGCAACAATTGAATTTGCAACACTTGCAAAATCTTACCCAAGCTCCTTCCAATTTAAATGCCAATAATTTTATACAACACAATTCGATACGTAATTCAAATCGTAATAATTTAAATGCCAATAATTATAATCTACAGCAATTGCAACAGCAGCAACAACAACAACAGCAGCAGCAACAGCAAGTAGTAGCAGCTGCTGCTGCCGCTGTTGTTGTAGCCAATAATAATCAACGTAATTTACAAATGAATAATTTAAATTTAAATCTTAATCTACAACCTCCTCATTCACATCATAATCATGGTCATAATCTCAATCATAATCATTTGTCGCATCAACAACAGCAACAAATGGAAACTTCCATGTCTAATACTTCTGCTGCTGCTGTAGCTGCGGCAGCCTCTATAGCTGCTGCTCTACAGCAACATCATAATAATGTTAATAGCAATAATGCTGCCACAGCAGCCGCCCTGGTCGCCCAAGCTAGCAATAATTTAAATGTCAATAATCGTAATAATAATCATAATAATAATAATAATAGCAATAATAATAGTAATAATCGTATTAATAATTCCGATCCAAATAATATTATAATGCAAGGAAATATGGATGATTTACAATATAAGTGGTGGTGGTGGTGAATATAATCAAAATTGTTTTTTGACAATTTTTTTTTAATTTTTTCTTTAAATGTTTAATTTTTAAGTAATTTAAAGTAATTTTATGCACTTTTTTGTGATATATGTTTTAAGTAGTTTAAAGTTTTTAAAGAAAATTTTGTGTTTTTTGTTTAAAAATTTTATATTTATTGTGTAAATATTTAACAAATTTCATTTTAGTTTTTTAAAATTTTCATTTAAAACAACATTATTTAAAGAAAACTTAATTATCTTAAAGAAAATTGTTTAAAAAAGTTACTTTTTAAAGAGGAAATTGTGTGAAAAAGATAGTTTTCTAATACAAATACCTTTAAAGAGACACTTTTCTGATAAAGAAACTGTTTAAAGAAGACTATTTTCTGATAGAAAACAGTATTAAGAAAACACTTTTCAAATAGAAAAACCATCTAAAGAATACACTTTTCTAACAGAAAACGATCTTAAGAAGACGCTTTTCTGATAGAAAACTTTCTTAAAAAGAGACTTTTCTAATAGAAAACTATATAAATATGATACTTTTCTAATAGAAAACTGTCTCAAGAACACACTTTTCTAATAGAAAACTGATAGATAACTGTCTCAAGTAGACACTTTCCTAATAGAAAAACAGATAGAAAACTGTATTAAAAAGACACTTTTCTATTAGAAAACTGTTTTAAGAAGACTCTTTTCTGATGGAAAACTATGTAAAGAAGACACTTTTTTCATAGAAAACTGTCTAAAGAAGAGACTTCTCTGACAGAAAACTCGTTTTAAAAGAATCTGTTCTAATAGAAAATTCTCTAAAGAAGACATTTTTCTAACAGAAAACTGATAGAAAACTGTCTTAAGAAAATACTTTTCTAATAGAAAACTGTCTTAAGCAGACTCTTTTCTAATAGAAAACTGTGTTAAGAAAATACTTTTCTAATAGAAAACTGTCTAAATGAGACACTTTTCTGATAGAAAACTGTCTTAAGCAGACACTTTTCTAATAGAAAACTGTCTTAAGCGGACTCTTTTCTTATAGAAAACTGTGTTAAGAAGAAACTTTTCTAATAGAAAACTGTCTTAAGAAGACACTTTTCTGATAGAAAACGTTCTAAAGAAAACACTTTTTTAACAAAAACTGATAGAGAACTGTCTTAAGAAGACACTTTTCTGATAGAAAACTGTCTAAAGAAGACACTTTTCTAATAGAAAGCGCTCTTAAAAAGACCATTTCTAATAGAACACTGTATTAAGAAGACACATTTCCAATAGAAAATTGTCTTAAAGAAACACATTTCTAATAGAAATCTCTTTAAAGAAGAAACTTTTCCAACTGAACACTATCTAAAAAAGTAAGTTTTTCTAACACAAAACTATCCAAAAAGTCACGTTTTTAATAGAATTCTATCACTTTTCTTTAAAAAAATTCAAAACTAAATTTCTTTAAAATCATAATTAAAACTTATTCAAATCATTTTAATTAAAAACTAAAAGAATATCTTTATTATAATTTAAAAAAAAAATCTGTTATTATATTTAATTTTAAGTTATTTATATCATTTAAGTCATTTTGTTTTAAATAAACCCAATTCATTTGCATTTTAATTTGTTTGTAAAAAAATGTCCATTAATTTAATAATTTCATAATTTTTTTTTAAATAAATAAACCAGCTATTATATGTAATAATTTTATCTTAAAAAAAACCAAAAAAATTGTGTGTTGTTTTTTTATTTTTTATAAAAAATTCTTTTAAAAAAAAAACTATAAATCTCCACCACCACCAATGAAACAAAATTTTATTTAAAAACTAATTTCTATTTCTTTAAATTTAAGCCTTAATTTTAAGTCGTTTTTGTTGTTGTTTTTAAACATTTAAATTATATTTAAATAGTTTTATTGTTGTCTACAACTAGAATTAATAATTAAGGCTTAAATTTAGAAACAAAAACCTCTTTCCTATTTCCTTGTATTTTAATTTTATTAATTGGCTTTATTTTTTTTTTTATTTTGGCTGTTTATTTTCTAAATTTTCCTTTTAATTTATTTTTTCTTTTCTCTTCTATCTCTTTATTATACTTTTATCTTTACAGTCTGCCCGCACCTCTATTTATCGCAATATTTATATTTGTTTATTATTAATCGAAGTTCTATTCCTGATTGGGATAGAACAAGTCGAAGCAAATATAATATTTTGCGGTTTTACAACGGTATTTTTACACTGTGCCATTTTAACGGCCATAGCATGGTTTTGTTTTGAAGGTAAGTTTCATACAAATATAAAAAAAATCTAAGAGAGAACAATCTACAGAAAAAACTTTTCTAATAGAAAACTAGAACTAGAGCTGAACTAGAACTGAACTAAACTGAACTAGAACTGAACTAGAACTGAACTAGAACTGAACTAGAACTGAACTAGAACTAGAACTGAACTAGAACTGAACTAGAACTGAACTAGAACTGAACTAGAACTGAACTAGAACTGAACTAGAACTGAACTAGAACTGAACTAGAACTGAACTAGAACTGACTAGAACTGAACTAGAACTGAACTAGATCTGAACTAGAACTGAAACTAGATCTGAACTAGAACTGAAATTAGATCTAAAATAGGACTTAACTAGAACTGAACTAGAAACTGAACTAGAACTGAACTAGAACTGAACTAAAACTGAACTAGAACTGAACTAGAACTGAACTAGAACTCAACTAGAACTGAACTAGAACTGAACTAGAACTGAAATAGAACTGAACTAGAACTGAACTGGAAACTAAACTAGATCTAAAATAGGAACTGAACTAGAACTGAACTAGAACTGAACTAGAACTGAACTAGAACTGAACTAGAACTGAACTAGAACTGAACTAGAACTGAACTAGAACTGAACTAGAACTGAACTAGAACTGAACTGAACTAGAACTGAACTAGAACTGAACTAGAACTGAACTAGAACTGAACTAGAACTGAACTAGAACTGAACTAGAACTGAACTAGAACTGAACTAGAACTGAACTAGAACTGAACTAGAACTGAACTAGAACTGAACTAGAACTGAACTAGAACTGTAACTAAACTGAACTAGATCTAACTAGGAACTGAACTAGAACTGAACTAGAACTGAACTAGATCTAAAATAGACTTAACTAGAACTGAACTAGATCTAAAATAGACTGAACTAGAACTGAACTAGAACTGAACTAGAACTGAACTAGAACTGAACTAGAACTGAACTAGAACTGAACTAGAACTGAACTAGAACTGAACTAGAACTGAACTAGAACTGAACTAGAACTGAACTAGAACTGAACTAGAACTGAACTAGAACTGAACTAGAACTGAACTAGAACTGAACTAGAACTGAACTAGAACTGAACTAGAACTGAACTAGAACTGAACTAGAACTGAACTAGAACTGAACTAGAACTGAACTAGAACTGAACTAGAACTGAACTACTAGAATTGAACTAGAACTGAACTAGAACGGAACTAGAACTGAACTAGAACTGAACTAAAACTGAACTAGAACTGTACTAAAACTGAACTAGATCTAAAATAGGACTGAACTAGAACTGAACTAGATCTGAACTAGAACTGAATTAGATCTAAAATAGGACTTAACTAGAACTGAACTAGAACTGAACTAGAACTGAACTAGTACTGAACTAGAACTGAACTAGAACTGAACTAGAACTGAACTAGTACTGAACTAGAACTGAACAAGAACTTGAACTAGAATTGAACTAGAATTGAACTAGAACTGAACTAGAACTGAACTAGAACTGAACTAGAATTGAACTAGAACTAAACTAGAAAACACTTTTATAATAAAAAAAAAAACTTATGGAAGATTGTCTTAAGAATATGCCTTTCAAGTAGGAAGAATCTAAAAATACTTTTTTAACCGAAAATTTATAGAAAAATGTCTTAAGAAGACTATTTTTCTAACAGAAAACTATCTAAAGAAGATTATTTTCTAAAAGAAATCTATTCCTTTAAATTTTCAACATTTTTTAGCATTCCAATCCTATACAACTTTAACCACCGATGATATATTGCTAGAGGTTGATCAGACCTCAAAAGTTAATTGTTACTATTTACTCTCCTATGCACTATCATTTACAATAGTGGCCATTTCTTTGGCCATAAATCCCAGTACCTATACCGAAAATGATTATTGTGTATTAATGGAAACGAATTTTCTATTCTATGCGACATTCGTAACGCCACTAATGATATTTTTAATGGTAAGTAGAGGAAATTTTGAAATAATTTCTTGTTGGATTAATACAATATTTGATAACTAGGGTGCCTTGGGTTATACTTTCTTATCGTGGGTAATAATGTGTCGCAAGTCACGCACGGCTTTGAAAAATAAAGAACATACTAGATTGGCTAATGTGAGGTAAGTTTGGAGAAATGGTTACTTTGATAGGATTTGTTTAGAATTTTTTAAATTGGATTTATTTTGTAAAATTTAGATTTGATATACGCTGTAGTTTTATATTTTTGCTGTTACTGTGTGGTGCCTGGTTTACGGCCTATTTCTATTTAAGACGTTCCAAATTGGATGATGAAATGTCGCAAATATATGGTTATCTCTTCATAGGTTTCAATACCATGATGGGCATCTATATATTTGTGTTCCATTGCATACAAAATGAAAAGGTAAATTGGGGGAAAATATTTGTAAATTTGTTGTAATTAAACGCGAAATTTCTAAAATATTCCAGATACGCCGTGAGTATCGCAAGTATGTAAGGCAAAATTCCTGGTTGCCCAAGTGTCTGCGTTGCTCCAAAACCTCTATTTCCTCGGGTATTGTGGGAGGCAGTGCCTGTGGCATGAATTCTGCTGGCAATACGGGCACATTGAATAGCAATACAAATGCTTTGGTTTCTTCTACGGGAACTCAATTGAAAAAGTCGAAAATTCCCTTGGGAGATGCTAATGAAAACGATGAAACTGGTAATATAATCTCAGCCACTGAGGATGCTATCATGGCCTCCTCAGACTGCGAGCTAAATGAGGGTAGCAAAACACGTAGACAAGGATCTTCTTCTAATAGCAGTGCGGTGGGAGGTGTAGTACCCACAGCCGTTACCATAAAGAGTGGCATAATGCCGGGTAATTTAGTGCTGCAACATGTCAACAAAACAAATGATCCCACTTTGCAGGGTCATGTGATAATGGAGCGTAATAATGGTCCTGGTACCACTGGCACTTTAAGATCTACAGGTGGCTTGCGTACCCCCAGTGCTGGCCATACTTCGCCCACCTCGTCGGTTAGCTCTACGCATTTGATATTTGGTCAGGGTCATAAACAACAGCAATTAGCTGCAGGCAGCATGAATGGTGTGGTACCACCGCCAACACAAGAAGCTTTTTATCATCAGCCAGATTATTATGCCTGGCAAAAGGCCAACAGTAAACAGGCCGGGCAGCAGGGACAAGCGAGGGACTATCATGGCTCTGGTATATCACCGCAACAGCAACAACAGTCTCATGAATTCTTCTACTGGACCCAGAAACATAATCAGGGTCACAGCAAAAAGAAACGGGGCAGTAATACTGGCTCCGACTCACCTAGTGGTTCATTGCATTCACGCAACACAGCCACTTCACAGCAGATATTGTTCTATCCTTCATACAAGAAAACAGCCATGAAACAGCCCACACCCTCAGCGCCACATTCCTACTATGCTGAGGCCTTAGATCCAGGAGCTCCACCGCCTCATTATCAGCAACAGCTGCAACAACAAAGACGACCACCACACGCTTATCAACAACAGCATCAGCAGCAACAGCAACAATTGTCCTCTGACGATGAACAAATGGAGCACGCTGCTCATGCTCATTTGCTACAGCAAATGAATCGTCGTGGTCCTGGCCCTGGGGAATTTGCGCTCTCCCAAACGTCGGGCCCTCAACAACAACGTTACTATAGAAATAAGCATTCCAACTGTGATTTAAACCAACCAATGGGCGGCGGCGTCGGCGCTGAAACCTATTACAATCAAGGTTCATTGGCCAGTGATAATGGTCCCGTATACGAAGAGATCTTAAGTAATCGTACCTCGGATGTACAACATTACAATGTCGATGATCTGTTACCGCAACTGTTGGCGCAGCTCAATATATTCAATATATTTAAATAATTTATTTAATATAATGTATTTTATTTATTAACAAAATAATATTGAATAGATTAAAAGTTTTTTCAGAAGTGACAAAATATTTCAAATATTCTACGAATATTTTTTCAAAGAGTTATTTATAAATTATAAAATACAAAAATGTTAAGTATTTAATTTATCAAGTAATATTGTTCTATCAACACCCCTTCTCAATTTAACTTGATAATAATCCGAGTAGTTTTCTAAATTGCATAATTTTAATTGAATTCAAAGGCTTTGTTAAAATATCTGCTTCCATTAACTCGGTAGGACAGTACATAAGTTTAATAGATTGTTTTTCTTTTAAGTCCTTAATGAAATGATATTTTGTATCAATATGTTTACTTCTACGACTAAATTTCTCATTTTTCACCAATTTTAAACAACTTTGATTATCTTCATATATGATAGTTGGATCTGTTAATTTTATTTCAAAATCTGTCACTAATCTTCGTAACCACATGGCTTCTTGAACAGCTTCACATAGAGAAATATATTCTGCTTCGGTCGATGATAATGAAACACAATCTTGTTTTCTACAACTCCAGGATATACATGAGCCATTGTATTTGAATACAAATCCACTATTAGATTTTCTATCTGCCTGACTTTGTGCCCAATCAGCATCAGCAAATCCGTATAAACTGTTTTTATTTTCACATTTTAATGACAATTTTAAATTTTTTGAACCGTTCAAATACTTAATTAAACGTTTTAATTCATTCCAATCACGAATTGTTGGTTTGCTTACTTTTCTACTCAAAATCGATACTGAAGTTGCTATGTCTGGTCTTGTGTTGACACAAACGTACAATAAACTTCCAATTAAGTGGTGATAATTTTCGTTATTTGGTAAATAATCACTATGTCCTTCTTCCTTAATATATCCAGTATTCATTGGAATTTTAGAAAATTTTGCTTCTTCCACTCCAGCATCTTTAATAATTTTATTTATATAATTTTCTTGATTAATACTGAAATATCCATCATTCCCCTTCTCAATTTTTATTCCTAAGTAAAAATTGACTTCTCCAAGATCAGATATTTCAAAATTCTGGCGCAATAAATTTTCTACATAACTTTGATGTGTGGATAATTTCGTGGCGACAAGTATATCATCTACATATATTAAAATAAAAATCCAGCTGTTATCTTTATTTACTTTTAATATGCAGGAATCCGCCAAACCTTTTTGGAAACCATTATTTATAAAAATTTGAATTAATTTTTCATTCCAACATCTAGCTGCTTGTTTTAACCCATAAATACTTTTCTGTAGCTTGCAACATTTTCCTTCTTTAATAATAAATCCAATAGGTTGTTTCATATAGATTTCTTCCTTGAGATCGCCATAGAGGAATGCTGTTTTAACGTCATAGTGCTTAACCATTAGTTTATATTCTCCAGCAATTGTTAAAAATAAACGGAACGTTGTTTGGCGTACGACTGGCGCAAAAACCTCATCATAGTCTACACCATATTTTTGATTAAATCCCTGAGCAACTAGTCTAGCTTTATACTTTGTTATGACACCATCTGCATTTTGTTTTAATTTATAAACCCACTTACAACCGATTGGTTTACGGTCATTTGGAATATTTTCTAAAATCCAGGTGTTATTCGCTTGTAATGAATCAAATTCTTCCTTCATTGCTTTTAACCATAGTTCCTTATCACTTCTTTTCAATAACTCATTATATGATTTAGGCTCCGTAAAATCTGTTACTATATTTGCTCTATATCTCTCTGGAAGTTGACCCTTTGTTATCCTTGAAGATCTTCTTAACACCTGTTGTTCTTGATCTGATATTATATTATTAATTTCAATTAGCGGCTCTTGAATTTCTTCTTCATCCGTAATTGTAATTGGAGAATTTTCCAAAATTTCAGAATCGAAAAATTCTTCATCGCTTAATAAATCACTTCGATTTTCCAATACTTCATCATTATTTATAATTTCTTCGGAGTGTATTATTTCATTATTTTGACGTTTCTCATTATTTTCAATAGATGTATTAGATGGTGTAAAAAGATCTATGTATACTTCATTGTTATTTTTATTTAGTATTTTAGTACAATTTTCGGATTCAATTACTTTATAATCCCTACTAATTACAATTTTATTTGTATTTTTATCTAAAAATCGTAATGCTTTAGACTGATCTGAATATCCAACAAAAGTCAATGTTTGGGCTTTTTCATCTAATTTCTTCCTTTTTTCTTTAGGAATAAACACAAGTGTTTGACATCCAAATATTAGAAAATCGCTTAACTCCGATTTCTTGCTTTCCCAAATATCCAACGGAATGCAATTTGTAGCTCTTGTTAAAACACGATTTTGTATGTAGGCTGCAGTAATAGCTGCTTCTCCCCAATAATATTTAGGCATACCAGCATCAATCAGCATACAACGAACCATTTCTACTATGTATCTATTCCGCCTTTCGGCCACACCATTTTGTTCGGGATTGTAAGGTACCGTAAATTGTTGTTTTATACCATGTTGTTTACAAAAAGATTCAATTTCAAAGTTAACGTATTCTCCTCCATTATCCGATCGAATAACCTTAGGATATTTATCAAATTTCGTCTTCATAGTTTGGCAATATTCTTTTAGTTTGGTTGCAACTTCGGACTTATAATTCAACAAATATATAGTAATATACTTACTATGGTCGTCAATAAAGGTGACAAAATATCTTTTACCACTAGGAGTCGCTGAATCCATGGGGCCACATACATCGGTATGAATCAAATCCATTACACTATTTGTTTGTTGACTTGAATACTTCGGAAATGGATTTCTCGACAGTTTTCCCTTTATACAAATTTTACAAATTTCTTCGCAATCGCAATTTTTAGGTATTTCATTATATATTTTTAACATCTTCTTAACACAATCAATATCACGATGACCAAAACATCTATGCCATTCATGGATACATTTAGATTGTTTTACAAATAGAGCACGTTGATTTTCTGATTGAATGTTAAGTTTATAAAGTCCATTCTTTAATGAAGCTGTCGCAATAATTTCATTATTAAGTTGTATTTCACATATATTTTTATAAAATATTACACGTAAGCCTTTTTCTGTTAATTTCTTTACTGAAAGAAGATTACTCTCAATATTAGGAACATAAAGTACATCATTTATTGTAATATTTTGAATTTTATCATCACCCTTTATTACTTTCAAAACACCAGAACCTTTACCACAAGTTTTCATTTCATATCCATTTGCCACGGTGATTGTTGACTTACATTCTTTATCGAGTGTTTTGAAAAAATCTCTTTCATTACAAATATGACTTGTAGCACCAGAGTCAACATACCAATTGGGTGAGTCACAACCAGCAACACAGAAGCATAATTCATTATTACGTTCATTAACCACAATATTAGTCTTGCCCTTTTTTAAGGATTCTTGATATAGATGGCAGTCCTTACGTACATGTCCTGGTTTTTCACAATAAAAGCAAACAATTTTCGAACGGGGTTTTAATTTTCTATTAGTATTACCATATACTTTCAAAACGGAATTTTCATCATTAATATACGTTTGCTTTTGAGTCCTTCTTCTAGATTCTTCAATCAATTTTTCTTTAACTATAGATAGAGAAGGTACACCATCACCTCTAGCTTCAAGAGTTGTTACTAATACATCGTACGACTCGGGTAAACTACGAAGTATCATAGCAACCTCCCATTTTTCACTAAGTTTCTCTCCCATGCTGCAAAGGCATTTGATTTCATGTTGCATCTTGCTTAAATGTTTCTCCATGTCACCATTTTCTTCTAATTGCATTTGACAAATTTTCTTCATTATAAATACACATTCGCTGAAAGAATGACGTTCAAAATGATTCTTGATAACCAACCATGATTCTCTTGCAGTTTCCACTTCATCAATAAGATTATAGACTAGACTATAGTCCAGACTATAGACTAGACTATAGTCCAGACTATAGACTAGACTATAGTCCAGACTATAGACTAGACTATAGTCCAGACTATAGACTAGACTTTAGTCCAGACTATAGACCAGACTATAGTCCAGACTATAGACCAGACTATAGTCCAGACTATAGACCAGACTATAGTCCAGACTATAGACCAGACTATAATTCAGACTATAGACTAGACTATAGTCCAGACTATATAGACTATCCTATAATTCAGACTATAGCCCACACTATGGCTATGTTCTACCCAATTCCCTAACACTTTTTGTAATTTTTCACCCTTCTAGGCGTCAACTACGTAAAAATGCCCAAGCCAATGAGCAAACAGCAACCGGGCCACCCAGCTACAATGACTATCATGAACCGCAGTATCCCCTGCCACCAGTACAACCACAACAGCAACTGCAGCAGCAACAACAATTACAACAGCCGATAACGGTTTTTGGGGTAAGTAGCGGTGCTGGTGGTTCAGTGCGTAGTTTCAAAAAAACTACAACTGCCAACGGTAGCCGCTTAGCTGTTAATGAATTATTTGCCACAACTCATGGTCCACCATTGCCACCGGCCAATCAACATCCCATGCAAAAGAAACAACAACAAATATCACCACAATCAGTCAATAATATGCCAGTAGTGGGACGTAATATATCAGCCATGTTGGATGAAAATAATACTGTGAGATGTTATTTAGAGCCTTTAGAAAAGTAAAAGAAAACCGATTTAAATTTAAAACATTTTATATACATTTATTAATATATATATAAAGACATTAATTATTACATGTTTAAAAGGTGTATTTATTAAAGAAAGCAAAGAAATTATATAAAAAAAAAAAAACATAAAAAGCAAAAGAAACCGATTGATAACAAACAAAAACAAAAAAAAAGAGTTAGTTAAGCTAAAATTTAATTATATTAAAAAATGAAACTCCTTCCTTTAAAAACAAATAAACCCAAAAAACAAATAAATTCCTTTAAAAAGCAACTTTAAACTCCTGGCTCTACAATAAACTCCTTTTAATGTGTAGTAGAGGCAAAGCAAAAACCGCGCATTAAATGTAATTTTCAATTGAGAACAAAACTTATAAAATTTATTAACAAATTTATAAAAAATGAAGAAGAAATCTATAACATTATACTTATAAGCTAAAGAATACTTTAAAAGAAATGATATATATATATAATATAGATATATATAAATTTAAAAAAAATTTAAAATAATAAGAAAGAAATATTTGTATTTTTAAGACGAAAAAAAACCTGCTATAAAAAATGCCATTTTGTTGACAATTAGATTGATATTTTTATATATATATAAAAAGTAAACTTTAAAATATTTATTTTTTTTTATTATTTTGTTTTTATGTTTAATATAAAATGCAATAATTTTATAACTGGCTTTTCTTTAAATAACAAATTTTTTATTAGAATAAAATTTTGTTTACAAAAAAAGGCTTTGAAAATGATAAATTTCTTAAAACCAAAACTATAACCTTCAGCTACTGTCTAACCCCCCCAACTCCCTGTAAAAATTGCTTAGTTATATAAGAATTTTGAATTTTTGTTAAATTTAGATTTTTATTTCTTGTTTTCTTTTTTTTGGTTTTTTATCAAATTTTTTTTTTTAAACAGCTTTAACGTATGAATTTATTATTTTTTATTTTTAATTTTTATTTAAAAAAAAAACTTTTGTAAAAGGTGTCTTTTTTTATTTCTTGTCTTATTATTTTTCTTTATTATAATTATTATTATATACTTTTTTAATTAACAAAGACTTATTAACATATTGTGTTAGGTTATGCTTTATTATTCTATATAATATTATATTTTTTATAATTAATAAAGAAAAAAAAATTAAATAAAAAACCATAAAACACAACACAAATGTAAACTTAATGTAAATTTATAAAACTCATTAAAAAAAGTAAAAAATGGAAAAATTTAATAAATGTGTATAGTATGAAATGAAAATAATAATAAAAAAAAAAAAAGAAAATGTGTTTCATTTACTCAAACAAAAACAACAACTTAGAACAATCCTCCAGAAGAAAAAAAACTTTGCTTCCATTCTGTTCAGCATTAACGACATAACCTCAAATTGGCTTTTAACTTAAACAGAAACAGAGTATAAATTTAGAGAAAACATTATCGCTTAAGGCCAAAGTTTGTTCGGTCAGCAAACATAACCTCAATATTTTTATTTTTACTCCAGAAACTAAGCAAACGAAATATAAACTTTTTTTCAGTTAACCAGCGGCAACAGCATAAACTCAACTTTAGCTTTATGTTAAAAAGGAAAACATTTTTTGGCCGAAGCTAAATTTTTGAACTAATGTACAGCTAAATCTGATCTAATAGCTAATGAAATACATTTGTGCTTTAAACTTTTAAACTCATCTGTATTTCTGCTTTAATCCCTCAAACTTTTATTAAATTCACTTGGTCCATTTAAAAATTACACATAAATTAACATTTTATTTCAATTTGCCCACTGTGTTAGACGAGAAATTTAAATTTAACGTTCATTTCCCATGAAAACAGAACAGCATTGCCATAAAATCGTTTATAAATAAGTGTGGCAATATTATTGTTTTGTTTATATTTTTTTCTACGCCCAGTGGCAACTCAACAACCAACAGCTGGGCAATTGAGTCATTATTTTTTGCATTTATTAGAAAATTAAGTAAATAATAGCAAAATAATTAAGAAACATTTAATAATTTATTATAAAAACAAACTATGACAGACTTTCAATGGCCCTGGGAATATAGCTTTCCACCTTTTTTTACGTAAGTATACAAAAACAGCGAACAATAAAATAAATCTAATGAAAACTTTTCCTCTCCAGACTCCAGCTACACGAAGAGACTCGCCAACAGCAGCTCAATGTTTGGTGTGATTTATTCCTTAAATACCTCAAACATATTAACAAATTTACCGTTAATATTCATGAAAACACCTTTCCTTTATTTAACAACGAGACGTTGAATCGTCGCCTAACACCCGAAATGATTTTACAGATTTTGGAAAAATTACAGAATACTAGACATGCTCATCCCCTGGATAAGAAACGTCATGAATGGCAAGTGTATTGGCATACGCTGGATGAGTATGGTAATATGATATATGATTGGATATTAGAAACGGGACAAACTAATAGTGTTTGTACATTGTATGAGATAAGTCATGGTGATAGTTCAGAGGGTAAAGGATTTTATAATATAGACGAGGCGGTACTGCTGAGCGTTTTAAGACAATTGGAGGAAAAGGGTCGGTGTGAGCTTATAGAAATGGATGGTAGTTATGGTGTTAAGTTTTTCTAAGTTTTTTAATAAATTAACAAACAATATACCCTCCAAAGTGTTTGTAAATTATTGACGAAGTGGTGGAGAGAAAGGTATTCCAACTGGTTTTTTTATGCGAACTTTTAAATTCCACTGCTTATAAAGGAATTAACATGATAATATCTGTTGAAATATTGAATATATTCCAACAAACTGTCTTTTTGAAATTCATTTATAATTTCAATTATCATAATTATTCCTACGACTTTTTACAAAAAAAAAAAAAACATTTTTGAAAAAGTTAAAAAATTATTAATAAAATCGGTCCATAAATGGCTAATATGCAAGCGAAGTTATACATTGTTTTGTTTTCCATACGGAAAAGCATTGTCGCCTGCGGCTGTAGTCTCGATTGTAAACAAAAGGTAAAAAACACTCTCTCACGTATTGTGAAAACAACTCTGTGTTTACTTCTACTTTCCCTCCAACATATGGCATCTCTTTTGTTTATGCCGCTCATTTTTGTTGTTGCTGTAGTTTTTTCTATGTAAATTTTGTTTGCTCCAAAAAATGGCTAATTTTGTAAGTATTTATGAAAAATTTATCAAAAAAACCTAAAAAATTATATAAATTTTTGATAAAATAGGCCCTCAAGGTAGAGGAAATCATAAATGAGGTAAATAAATTCCATTTAGTGACATTGGAACATGCTGCCGAAATTTCTCCCTTGGTGCATGATCGTTCAATTGGCCCCGATTTAGATTTGAAAGATTATAAGGAAAATGAGGAGCCTAGGGACCGTTTGAGGGCAGAAAATGATAATATAAATAAAGATCTAACAAAAAGTGATAAAAATGAAATCAATAAAAAGAAAACGCCGGCAAAAGAGAAACCACAACAAAAAAGCCCCTCCGCTAAGGAGGTGGCCAGCAAAGAGCCCAATAGTTTGCATGTGAGTAGTGTAACCTATTGATTAACTTAATGTTTTTTAATATTCAAACTTAGAGTTTAGATTTTCAAACCATCAACTCTAGTATACTGCTTAAAGAGGCAGAGGAGCAACGTAAACGTTCCATAAGGCAAAAGATGCTTGAATTGCAAGAGAAACACACGAGTCTAATGAACCAAACTCTACAACCGTTGGAGGAAAAACAGCAAGAGGAACGTCGTAAATGGCTGGAAAAGAAACGACGTAGTGATTCTCAAATCTTACAGCAGGCAGAACAGAAATCCTCTCAAGAACTTAAGGAACAGGAGCGACAATTGGAAAATTTGCGCCTGCAGACACAAAAACAATTACAATTGATTTTCTTTCAAGGCATATCTCAATATCAAATGAAATTTCGCAATAAATATGAGGCCATCGTTCATCTGTTAATGTCCATAGACAAACAGGCTTTAATGTCTTGTGCTGAGTATAATAAAAAGCTCAAGGAATTGATACAAATGTTTGAGCAATTGATAGCTAAAATAAAATCCGGAGAATGTGGGCCCACAGAATTGAAAACGGCAGAAAATTTATGTAAATCTTTAGAAGACTTGGAAATAAGTATATTGGAAGCTTGTAAGCAGGAGAAAACTAAACTGGAAGAGAAACAAAGGGAGCAGCAAAAGCAAGAAGAGGAAAGGGTTAAACAAGAACAGGCCCAGCAAACACAAAAGTTAGCAGAACAACAGCAGCAACAACAACAACAACAGCAGCAACAAACCCAATTAGCCAATCCACCGCAACAAATTAACACCAACGAGCCTGCTAAAGCAGCAACTGTTGCCACAACTAGCACCACCGACGGAGGTGGCGGTAATACAGGTTCCTCTTCTCAATTTGTAAGCTCTGAACGTTTTGAGTTCTATACAAAAATCAATACTTTTTATCAGGAAAAAGTCGAAAGAGTGAAAGTCCTGCAATCGGATGATTCTATGAAAAAATATCGTTTCGATTGCCAAAAGAATATAAATATACCGGTTAATGCCATTTCGGCCGTTAGTCAGCAGCATATACAAGATAAATTTGATAAACTATTCTCCTTTGTTAGCACACAACCCACTTTGGGTCGCGACTATTGCATACTGTTAATGGCGAAAAAGTTTGTGGGTCAAGGAGAGACTACCATTTCCAGTAATCCTCAAGCGGCCTTTCCTGTGGCCTCAGTTATTGTTTCGCTTTGGAAAAATGTACCTGAATTTGGTCAATTATTTTTGGCATATGTCTTTAAAGAGTGTCCCTTTCTAGTGCCCTATTTTATACCCCAAAAGAAGGGGCAAACTATAGAGGAATATTCGAAAATATTAGGCTATCGCATGACAGAGGGACAAATTGAGTCTCAGGACATGTATTTAAAGAGACAAACTGGTGTAGCACGCCTCTATGCTGCTGTTATGATTACTTTGGGACGCCAGCAAGATGGTCCTTCCCACCCTTATGGCATAGAACATGCTTGGCGCTGGCTAACTAATTTTATAGCTCTCGATCCTTTACCCGATATTTGTGCTACTTTAATTATGGAAATCTTACAAATAGTAGGCAGTGATTTATGGTCTGCTTATGGCAAACAATTTGTCAAGTTATTGGTGTATATACAGCAGCAATATTTTCCCAAATTATCGGCAGTGGATGAAGGTGGTCCGAAAGCGCGACTGGAGTTATTATTGGGGAAATTTTTAAGAGAAGGACAAATACAAAAGCCTCAAGGCATATTGCCGCAAGGATTTTGGTAAGAGTTTTTTAAATTATTTATTATACATTTAAAAATAAACAAAAAGAAGCAATTATTATTGCCAAAGAAAATAAACAATACCCAATATCGAAAGGGGAAAAAACTAAACTGTACAATGTACTAAAATCTTGAAAATTTTAAACATTTATATTCTGCGTTTTATTGAGCACAAACCTAAATTACTGCTATATTTGAGTTGAAATGAGGACTTTCAAACTGAATGCCAAACAAGCTTAACTGTACAATGTACTAAACTCTATAAAAACTCGGCATTTATTTTTAATCTTATTGAGTACAAACATAGATTACTTCATGCAATGTATTTTTAATTTAAAAAAGGGAAGACTTGTGCAATCTGCCAAGCAGTTTCCCCATAATTCTAGGTTCTATTGAGCACAAAATCAGCATTTGACTTCCTAGGAAAATTTAATGTCCAGATTTTATTGAGTACAAAATTTAATTACCTCTCATAGAATTTTTATTACATATATTAACACCCCGAAAGTGAATTCTAGGTTTAATTATTGAGCACAAATTTAAATAAACTTTTTCTTTGTAAATTTTTATTTTTCACTAATTGCATATAATTTTATACACTCACTTCAAATTTTATTATGAAATTGTTTACATTTTTTTCTTGTTCAAACTGTTTATAACATTTTGTTTTTCTTTTTTTTTTTTTAATTTGTTTAATTTGCCAACTATTGTGTTTTTTTCATTCAACCATTTTTTTTATAGTTCATTCAATTTAAACTTGAGTTAAATTATACATATATATATATTTTCATTTCGTTAGTATTATATTTCCTGTAGCGGGTTCTTTTTTTTATAAAAATGGAAATGTGTTTTCCTAAACGAACAAACAAAAGTCTTTAATCCTCCTCGTCCTCATCTTCCAGATCTAAGTCGTCAAGTTCATCGGCCAAACCCATAAATAGATCCTTATTAATGGGTGCAGCATCCGAGGCAGGTGCAGTTGAACCATCAGCCAGAGCGGCTGCAGCAGCCGCTTCTTCCTCTTGTTCAGCTTTAGCTATAGCATTGGCTTGTTCCGTTAAACGTGTCTCCGAAGCCACGGTACCACTACCATCCGCTTCTTGAGCCTCCAAAGACAAGGCAGCCAAATCCAATTCTTTGTATTCAACTCCCTCTTCCTCTTCGTCACGATTGTACATTTCGAAGGCGGCATCGCCTTCCTCCATGGGACCATCATCCACCAAATCGGGATTGAAGCTAAACATTTCTCTACCCGAAATGCCAAACTGTTTGCCTTTGCTATAGTCATTCTTTTTACGTTCTTCATCGGCTGCCAATTTGTCTTTCTTTTCTTGGACCTTGCGTTTCTTCCAGGCCAAGAAAGTTTCCAAAGTGACTTTGGTGGTATTGGGACCCAAGGCGGCTCTTTCTTTTTCTATCAAATCCACCAGAGAAAGTTCAGAGGGCTTATTTTCTTCCATTTTCTTTTTGTCCTTCTTTAGAACATAACCTTGTGGCAAAGCATGACGGTAAATACATTTTTCACCGTTTGGACATTCCCAAAACCAGCCGTATTTGGATTTTTCTACGGCCTCAATGAAGTATTTGCAAATCTATAAAAACAAAATAAAATTACGTTAACAACAGTTTATCAACAACAATTTTTCACACTTACAATATCTGTGGTAGGTCTCTTCTTTTCTCCGGCATGCTTTTTGTCCACCACTTCCTTAAGTTTGGCATCATCCCAATTTCTCATGTCGTCTTCGCCATCATCACGCATATCCACATAAATCGAACGTTTCTCCACCTTATTTTCTACAGCCAGATCGTGAGAGAATTTACATTTGTCGCCCTTGGTACAGAGACCCTGTTTGAAGAAGGCACATACCACCGATTTGGGATCAGTGCCTTTCTCCACTTTCTGTGTTTGCACTGGCTTGAAAATGGATGCCAACTCCTTCAACTCTTGCAATTTCTTCTCCTTCTCATCCTTCTTTTTGTTGGCATCTGTTTTGGGATGATGACCACCACTCTGCACTTGTTTGGCAACTTGTTGTATGAACTTTTGCTGTTTTGCGCCCTTCTTATTCTTTAAACCGAAAGTCTTGTCCTGTGTTAAAGATTATTAAAGAAATGTTTAGTTGTCAAGGTTTTTTGTTTGCTTTCTTTCTTTATGATGGAAATAATTGGAACATTTTTGACTGCTTATATTGAGGTTATGTTTTCATATTAGGTGTAGTCTGCATGGGGTTTGTTTTCCTTTAATATTTGTTTTTGTCCTTACCTCGATAACCTTCTCCTTTTTCTTTTGTTCAGTTTTTTTACTAGGTCCAGGAGCCTTTTTTGGAGGCATTTTTCTAGAATTTTATTAAC